CTGCTTTAAAAGCATTAGACATGGGTTGCCCCGAGTACGCATGTGCTATTCTTCACTACTCCTTCGCCCTCAAAACCGCCCTGCGCCCTCTTCTCCTTAACAAAACATCCGCTGCGGTTTTCCGGTCTGGGTCTTCTCTTGGCTTAGTGATTATTTTACTTCCCACACTCAATTTGTCCAATCTGGCAAGCGGAAATCTATGGTCCTTCCCAATGACTGCAGAGTTCTTCAAGGTTCCATTCTATCTCCTCGCCATTTTTCCCTCCACTCCGACTATCTAAGATCCCCTAACGACTGTCTTTTGGTTAAGTATGCTGATGATGTGGTTGTTGGAAACCCTCTCAAAAGTCAGACACCTCCAGTCTCCAAAGGATGGCGTTAACCATGTCCTAGTATGGTCGGAGGAAAATGGCCTCCTAATGAACAACCAAAAATCAGTTCAGTGTATTTTCCAAGTGGGACACTCTCCTAATCTTGAGTCCTCTGACATCCTTCCTAACGAGTTATCCTCTTTCAGGTACCGTGGCGTTACTTTGTCCTTAAATCTTTCATTTTCCTTCATATTGAGTCCCTATTTACTAAAGCTTGTAAACGTCTTTATTACACTCGTCGTTTACGTTGCTACTACTTACCTCAACCCTTAGTCTGGCGATTCATCGATGCCTACATTCTTTCTCTAATCCTATATTGCTCTCCTGTCATTTTTCCTGCATTTCTAAGAAGGGATCTTTCAATTTTAAAGCGAGTCCTCCAAATACTCTCTTCTGTCGTTGGTGTCATTTTTAGTCGATATTAAACTACAACGGCATTTCAATACGGTCAGGCAATTTGCTCGTCGGATTATAGATGACGTTGCCCATCCCTTGCATTCTGGTCTTATTTCTGCGAAATCTTCCTGCCCGATGCGCCGCGGCTTTCGACATGTCTTGTCGCACATTGGCTTCTCGAGCTTCTGTCTTGCCATTCCTGGCGCGCTATCTTACGTGCGAAGAGATAGAATTGCAGAATCTGAGGGAAATTAAGTGCTCACCGGATCGAGGGACTTGTTTGGCTGACGTTTCGAAGAGCTGGGGCGGCTCTCCATTATCAAAGCGTCTAGTGAAAAATCGATCAGAATTTTGAATAGACAGCCGGATTAGTTGGCCTTGAGCTAATCGATTTTTTTCTTCTTTCGCTGCCTTGGCCTACTGGCCGTCGCCTGTGAGTGTTGGTGGCCTCCTGTATTGCGTGTCGTCACCTCAATTGGGGTTAGTTGCGTTTGCGTTCCCCTTTTGGGTGAATTGGTTGACAGGCCGTGTTTGCTCGGTAGGCTTAGGCTCCGTATGACTGTCGTGTCTTCGTCACGGCGTATGTAGTGACGTAGGACTTTATAGGCCGAAGGAAGGTCTAGATGCCTGTTGATGAAGTTGACATCTGGGTACCAAGCCTCAAGTGTGAGACGCTCTGTCCATGAGGTGCCCCAGCCTAAGACGGCTGCTCCTTGAAAATCAAAACTTTGACCAGTTTCCCAGATGTGAGCCGCAAGCTGTGAGTTTGGGTCTAGGCTCTGAGTTGCCAGTTAGTGCTCATGTAGGTGGGTCTGCACTTTCCGTCCGGTTTCCCCAACGTAGTTGCAGCCTCCATCGTTACAACGTATTCGATAGAAAACTGCTGAGGTTTCAGTGAGTGGCAGTATGTCTTTGGGTTGCATCAAAGGGCGACGAATTGTTGCCTGGGGTCGATGGGCAATGCCTACCCTGGCGGGTCGTAACAGTCGTAAAACCGCTTTGGAGACTCCTTTAATGTAAGGAATAGCCCTCCAGGATTTGGGTTGTTCTTCTTGTGGCCGTCGTCTGTTGACTGGGCGCTTGCTTTGCTTGATGAAGTAGCTTGGGCATCCATTGGTTCGAATGAGGTCATGAAGGTATTGTCGTTCAACTCTTTTGTCGGCTGGTGTGCTGCAGTGTGTTTGAACTCTTTGGATTAGAGTACGGACACAGCGGTTTCACGACTGTTACGACCCGCCAGGGTAGGCATTGCTTTGATAAAGTTGCTTAGGCACATTTTCGGCAGGGAAAAGGATATTTACTCGAAGAAGCTGGACCGGCGGGGTTCAAAAACGCAGTCCGACTGGCGAATGAGGAAGCCCAGGCATATCCGATACGGGAACCGCGGTACCAGACGTTTTACGGGTGGAGCTGCGGGAAGATACGGAAGGACGTGCGAAAACTAAGGGGAAAACTGATGCAGGAAAGGCAAATGTGCTAGTCTGTTTTAGTGAGTACTAAATTCTCAGCGTAAGCAGTGTGCAATACAAAACCCGCTACAAGTAACCAGTACAAACCATCTCCACTACCAATAAAGGTCATCGTAACTGAACCGTTCGGGACAACCAATCAGACGGAAGCCGTAGGAAGTGGGTGTAAAACGACCTAGGCTCAAGCAATTACGCTAACACTAAGTTGTGACTCCAAACCTAAACATTAAATCCTAACCCTAACCATAAGTACTAACCCTAAACACCAAAACTAACACCAACCCTAAGTCAAGCCCCAGATCCCTACTTTAGACTTTAACCCTAAACACTAGCCCTAACCTGAAAACTAACTCTAGCCCGGAAACTGAGCCTAACGCAATGCGGAACAGCAAGCGTAATCGTGAATTATAATCGCAGCTGTCCGCGAAGCACCTCAAGTCGAAAATATCCGCTAACAGTACTACATATACTGAAATCAATAAAAGTACGAAAGTGATAACTTATTGACCAAGCAGGACCACGTACGCGAGGTCCACCACCGCACGGGCGAGCGAAATGAGTAACGTCTAAGGATTGCGAAAATGCCTATATCAGTTCCTGCCAGCAAATTTCATGCGTTAAATCACATACCATATATCAAGGGGAGGCGTTAGAACGCGGCAGGTTGGTGAAAACGTACGGTACGTTGGCATATGCTGATCAAACCGTATGCACAGAAACTTAGCACGCCAACAGCTAGGGAGATATAAGGCAACTGGCTGACCGAAACGGTGTCTAGAAGGGGCATACTGTAGCGAACGGATAAAGTGCAGAAGCTATTGAGAAAGGCTACCACTGCTGTCTGATATACCAGAAGCATAATCCTGATCATCGAATCCAACGCAACCACTAATGTCAGTAACTAATTCTGACGGTTATCCAAAAGCAAATATTCAAAAGCAGTGACAGTCAAACCTAATTAATACATTCAGGCACCCTAACATCTGTCTGATGCATGAGTGTATAACGAAGATCAATGACAGTTCGGAAAAGGAAGCTGGAACAGAAGGATTGGCGTATTTTATGTGTTTGAGTTGTTTTTGGATTGCGCGCAATGGTGATGCAAATCCACCAAGTGCACCAAGGGTGAAAGGGTAAAGTGCGCTTTCTTGTGCACATTCTGGGAACTGCTCACATCGTAGACGTACACCACCAGACCCACCACCACTGTAGCCAATGAAAGGGATGGTTAGGCTTCATTCATACGCATTTCAAAATAAACCACCCGTAAAATTTTGCAGACCCAACGACGGGCACTGACACACACTGGAGTCGCCTAAGACGTTATCTCCACACGGACGGCCCATTAGAGAGAAAAGTGCTGAGCACACACCTAGACGTTGCACATGATAAGACAGTTGATCTTTCTGAGCCGGGAATACATTCCTGCAGTAGATTGCAGCCCGTTACCTTGTCGACAATCCTCAGACAACAGCTTCCCAAGAATCCGCGATGAGTTCAGTGCCTACTTCGGCCTGGCTTTGTCGTAGCGACTACGGTCGCCTCGATGCTCCAGCTGTCACAACCTTGGTAATTTTGACGCGATCGCATCGCAAATGCAAAAGTTGCCGAGGTCAACATTATAAATCTCCCCTCAGTCTTATCTCTATATTTTGCTGCGATGCTTGGATGGACGCAATTACCGACATAGTCGTGAGACGAGATGAATGTCCTCGACCCCCATCCACCAAATCCAGGTCCTGGTTCCGATGCAATTCTATAGAGTAGGCGTCAATCAGTGTCAGCATCCAGACGCGCTTCACAGCCTTCCATATGCTACCTTCCCTATCATCAGCGGTATATACTTACTCGGATCAACACACACTTCACGTTCAGCAACTGCCTTTCTCCAGTCGTTCCTATCACCCTGGCCCTTTGCTGCCAGCTGCAGCCGCCCACGCTGACAATAGCCCTACTGTTGGTGTTGCTATCTCCATCTATCTGGTTGGCCCGACAGTACGCTTCTCCTCTCAGTTTAGTCACTTTCCACCTGAATTTTTCAATCCCACCCTATTCTCCTTTAAGTACGGAGTTCTGGCGAAGTACATCCTCAGATGTAAGTACACGTGAGTGGGCTGACGTGGAAGTAGAGCTCCGGAACGCATAATTACGAAAATCTCGCATTGATCTAGGACGGCAGAGCTTGAAAAATATAACAAGGGATTTTAATCGGTCATTAACATACCGACTCTAATTATGGACACAGACAGCGGATGATAGTGTGGGTGGCGGGGAACGAATAGGAAACTAGAAATATTGCTGCATTCTACACTAATTGACGTAAACCCAATTCTTTTGTAACTATTTAAGGCTTGACTGGCACCAAAGTCGATGTGGAAACTAATCTGTCATAATTTTTACGGCCCAAATTCATGAAAAAACTTACAACACGCAGGGGATGCGGACCTCTTGGTGGAGCCCTGTGTAAGTACGTGTAGTAAAGGCGGGATACCACTTCCCAGAGAGCAAACAGTTATTACAACGAAATGAGTAAAAATACAGTGTCAACGAAATAGTACTTCACAAATTTGCGCCAGGGCCAGGAACGATGGCAAGGTTGAGGGCAGCAAAAATCGATAGAAAACACTTTATATAAAGTGCTTAAGTTCAGGGAGTGTTAGAGAGTTAAAACAGAATCATCCAAGTGACAGGAAAAAATGGGAGCGCGGGGTAGGAAAGAGAAAAATAGCCCAAGAAACCTAGAAATAAGTAGAGCAAAAGTCACCTAGGATGCGGCCTGATCTAGGCCCCGGGTAGTTAGATCGCCAATCCACGATTTCGCGGGGTTGGCCTTGCGCAGAAACAGTATCACTTTGCCATTTTTCACCTGTAGAAAAATAGATGAGCAAAAAGTAGGTAACGATGGTAGCTGGGTTCAATACATTGGTTAAGTAGTTGCACGTACTTGAATCGGGTACAGGTTTGAACAGGACACAAGTATATAAAAGTCACCTTGTATGAGCATTCATTTGGCAGAATTTCACCAGGTAATTGGTTAACGCGATAAGATATTGGAGTATCTCGGTTGGAGATGGTGCAGGTGAGAGAAAGAGACCTGAAAGGAGAACCATAAGGTGAAATAAAAAGTATTGTCACAGTGCGTCTGGGATGTGTCCTAGTCAGCAGTGTAGAAGCTCGTAGGCGTCCGAATCTCAGGATACTGAAAGTCTAATTCACAAAGGTAAAATCAGTCCTCAAAAAGTACCTATCATTGGCATTACGATGATCATTCTGCTTGCTAGGATCTAGTGCATAGTGGACGTTTTCGCAAATTTCTTACTGAGTGCGGTTCCCCTCCCTTACTACACATCGATCACCCGTAGGCATTTTCCTTGCTAGCACGAGCAAAGAAAATCCGAGCTGCGAAAACATTTATGGCAGCACCGACAAAAGACGATCCAATCGTCAAAGGGCAAGAAAATTAGCCATACTTTACCTGATTGTAAGGCAGTCACGGCAAGAATGTCGCTGACAACGTCATTCAACGCTCGACAGTGATCAACCGACGCGATCTTCGCCCTTAGACACCATCTATTTTCAAGTCAACAATACTTTCAAGATGCTCTGGAAAAGCATTAAACAGCATTGCAAACTGGCTGGCTGTGTGGTGTATGTGGAAGTTTGGGATGGCGGTAGAAGATTGACGTACTAATGTGGGCAAAAATAGCCTATGTTGAGGACTATGCATACAGTCGCCGGTGGAGGACATGAAACATCCTTCAGGCCATTTCTACAGAGCCCTAAGACGCATACATTGTAGTTAACTAGTCAGATGCGTCGACACCATAATTTAGGTACGAAACTCTGCTACTTACATAAGGGCAGTACACCGATTTGGTGACAATAGAAATTCACCAACCCCTCTTTGAGTAGGGTTGTGACTGACGGCGAGGGTACTAGACCAATTCGAAAACAGCCGTCTTATTCCGTGCTGCCCTTATATGCATGTCTGATTTTGTTCGATACTTTGCGACCTACAGGATGTTAGCAACTTTGAGGACGGAGTTTGACTGCTCCGAAACCTTGATCAAATCGGTGTGCCTTCATTTCAATATAGAAGTGAATACAGTAGATAACGCACCTCATGAAACATTAATTGCAATTTTGAAGTGTGATTTTGGTTAAAAGTAGATACATGGGTGGAGCCGTAATATTGAGCACTCTGCAGCATAATTTTAAGATGTACCGGTCACGGCAGGGCGTCGGCTTCTGAATGCACCTTTTTCTGGCCGCCGACAAAGATCATAGATGGTAAAAATGTCTATTTAAGTAGAAGGCATTTTTACACTGATTTTCGGTGCTCTTACAAATTCAACCACTTTACAGAAGTCATGTACGAAAACCTCTCTTACCATACCAATGTTATATTAAATCTATATACAAATCTTCTACCTAAAGGAAAGGTGGATTGTGATTTAAGAAACGTTTGCGATAAGCAGATTTTTGAGACCGTGAAATACCTGTTCAAGCAGAATCATGTCCGTCCGTTTATTAATGCTCCTTATTAAATACAGAATATGGGCCGTATGCATTGCACAATTTTAAGAGCTCTGTATGATACGTTCTTAACAGCATGGAGGAATGTATGATTTTCTTTAATAGAAAATGTGCAGCATGTAGTTTGAATATCCTAAAAGGAAGCGCAGGGACAAGTTAAGTTCAATATCATTCGAGAATCACAAGACTTCTAAAATTAAAAGATACCCTTCCTGCAAGTAGGAAATTTATCTAAGGCGTAAGTTACCATAAAATGCATATAAGGGTATTTTGGCACCTGTTTTTTTTCAAAATATTTTGGCCTTTGTGTGTGCAATAAAGGGCAAAACATCTACCACTACTACTAATGCTACTGCTACTACTGCTACAGTAACCAGTTTTAACAAGTGTCACTTCTGTTGAAGACCGGAAAAACTTGCACTCAGAAGCCGGCACCACGCCATGATTGAAATATCTTGGGACTATGTCGTATGATGCTAAACATCGCGCGTAACCGATGTCTTTGTGGAAAATTCGACAGAACACCCGACTTTACTCATTCCAAACATATATTTACGTTTTTGTCGATAATTTAATAAGTCAAGGTTGAAATACCAAAAGCACTCAAGTAGGCCGTAATTCCTGACAGAAGTGAACAGGTTAGTTCCTAGAAGCAGTCGGGAAGAAGCTAACAGGATAGCTAGAGCCTGAGAGGAGGAACTTTTTTCGCTGAACGTTCCGGACTCACTCGAGTCTATCACAACAGACAGAATCGGATAAGATTGATGTTTTGCACAAGTGTTGCAGTATTTATAGGATGCAGGTGCTGAGCTACTACGTCCCGCATCCATCGCGTAGGCTGAACGTGGTGTAAAAACGAGTCAATTGCACGCATCCGAGTCGTTTTTTTGCCAAAAGATCATCACTCATGTGGGTTCTCGGGCAACTTGGCTCACTGACATTGGCACTAAGAGGACGCACTCCCCATGTGACTTATCATTCTGTCCGGTCAAAGTATCAGCACAGAGTATGGCGACCGATCGCTGCGCTCGGTAATCGACTGAGCTCAGAATAAGCATGATTCACGCAGGGCGTAGCTCACGCGGTCGTCAACCCTCGAGAGGATATCGACCTCGACAAACTTGAATGCGTTGTCGGGTCCCGTTGAGTAAGTCGCAACTTGCGAGCTGGCGTCGTTCCTTCTCACTGCTGCTGCTGAGTGCTCGGTCGTCTGAATCTGGTGTAGTCTTCCAGTTGCTCCGACAGAGTTACTTTGCTTACAACTGCACCGGATCGAATAAGCAACTCCAGCCGTTCCCTGTTGTGATAAAGGGTATTTCAGCTTCATGATCTGGCGCCTGCTGGGTGACTCCGGTCTGTGCGCAATCGTAACTTCAACTGATGTGAGGAGGCTGGTAGCCTTTGAGACGTTCTTGAAGTCCGGTTGAATTTGGTTAATCGTATTGTTTGCGTGTGCACCGGTCGACGAGGTTGTGTGGACAGTCATTCGTTCCAAGCACCTATCGAAGATGTTATGCAGCGACCTTGCCATCTGGTTCATTGCAGTGGGTCCCAACACGCCGGTATAACGCCCTTACATAACTGCGTTGGTGGCCGATGGGACGGTTGCTGTTGTAGCTCAGTATTTTCGTCGTATTTGTCGTTTTCAAAGCCAGCTGATTGTTTTTCTCCTCTAACGTACATTGCATATTCGGGAGGAAAGCGTTAAGATGTTCTTTGAACGTTTGCACCTTAGCCTGACTAATTAGGACGAAGGTATCATCCATGTACCGAGTCTAGAATTCCGGTCTGTGGCTTTGGAAGACTAGCGACTCCAGCTGCTGAGAGACCGCCTCAGTTATAAGTCCCAACATCGGCAAACCCATTGGCGGGCGGGAATACTGATCCTGGTGCCAGTACCGGTGACTTAGATCGTCCGAGAATCCACACGATGGGGTTTCGGGAATTAACGACTGCGTACACTAAAATCATTATTGCACCTCGTGCAACCTCTGACATGAATGCGGGAGCAGATAATTTTGATAGGCGTGCAATGGCACAGCAACTGCATCCTACAAATACTGCAACACTTGTGCGAAACATCACCCTTATTTGATTCTGTCTGTAGTGATGGATTCAAGTGCGAATCCGAAACGTCAGGCGAAAAAAACTCTTGTTTTAACGATCGTGCCTCCTTCCTATGCAGTGATTCTCTCAAGACGTACTCCAGAAAAAGACATGACAGACAGGCGTAACCGTTTCTGGCCTATTTCACGTCACCAGTCAAGGAGTATCCCCACCTCAGGCCGAGAAGGTCTTTGGTTTAAAGACGCGCCCGGGACATCAATGAGTAGTTGCTCGGCAAGTCGAACCATTCACCGACACTGCCGGCAGCGATCAGAGATATTTAAAGTCGCGTGGTAATCTAACAACACAAATAAGCGGACAACGGAAGACTGACAGTTCGATCGACGACATCCACCGTGTGCTCCACAGCAGGATGAGAGCAGACACGGTGACTTGCTCGTGATTTCTTTTACAGTGATAAGACTTGCGCAGCATCTGCCGCACCCTCTCCTCTCCTACCTGGGTCCGGTGTGAAGACATAGTCAAGAAGACCGGAGGTGGGAGAGGGTGGAGATGGCTGGTGTTGCCAGAGCCGCTCCTAGGTGTGCCGCCACACCCGGCTGAGATCCCACGGAATGGGAGTACCATAATGGCCGCATTAAAGAGCCATTGCAGCCTGACTCTCAGACCATCAGCAGGCCTCTTCCCACAGACACGCACGCGCCGGCTGTGAGGGCCAAGTTATCCCGTCAGTTGGCAACCTTCCAAGTCATGGCTTTTAGCGCACCGTGACAGATTCAAGCGCGTTAGACTGTTTATAGTGAGGGAAATGCGCCGAGTCGACCTTGCTCTCTCTATCCCTATTCCCAGGCCCCGGCAACTTTCCGAGCCGGTCAGTTGTCTGGTGCGGGGAATGGGCGCAGTGGCTGATGTATTTGGAGGACCTGTCTGCGCGCGCTGCATGCACGACCAGGATTTCACACAACAGGGAGGGGGGGCCGCATACATCTCACATGCGTGTGTCAGAGGCAACGTTAAGGAGGCGTTGCAGCCTGACTCTCAGCCCCTCAGTCCGTCACTCCACACAAACACACTCAACTGGGCAGACTGCGTGGACTGTGTTGATGTGTTAGCTGGAAACCTTCCAAGCCACGGCGCTTGGCCCACCGTGATAATCTCGGACCCGGATCACACATGCAGTACAGGAACCACATGGAAAAGGGGTGAGCGACACGCTCCCCAATTACATGAGAAGTGCCAGTTGTGTGCTAACGTTATGTGATAATGGGTGATGTTGGTGTGCGTTGTAGGTGCTCGTGAGAAGTGTGGTGCGGTATGGCCGGCGGTGATCTACCGCATGTTCTAGTTAATGTGCATGGGGCAGGAGCGGCGCGTGTGGTGGCTGAATATGCGAGGTCAATGAGGTAGTTGAGGCGACGATGACTGGTGTATGGTGGTGCTCCAGGTAGTGGCTCGTCAGTCACCGTGCGATGTATTCGCAGGTGGCCAACCAGGTCGATGTATGAGATGAACGTGCGGTGACTGTGTTGACATGATAGGTAGGGAGCTGCAGATTCGGCTTCGGTGGTGATGGTGGTGCTGCTGTTGTTAGTAGTGGGTGCGCAGGGCGATGGGGAAATGGACTAGAGGTAGTGGATGTGCAAGGTGAGTCGATACTGCGGTGTATTTCGCTGTCACGGATACGCATGTGACTGAATAGGTCCACGGGATGGAGGGTTGTGCGCGGACAATGAAGGTGAGTGCGGCGAATGTGTATTAGTGCTTCAGGCACTAGCTCGGCAGACTGTGCGATCGATTCGCGAGTGGCCGACTAATCCGATCTGTGAAGTGGATGTGCGGTCGCAGAGAGGACAAGTTTGAGCCGAGCCCACATCGCTGGAGGTGGGGGTGGTAATTGTGTTGGGGATTGCCAGAGAGTCATGAGCACTTTGGTCGTTGGCGGTGGTGGTGGTAGAGGTGGTTGTGTTAATCGTCGCCGCGGTAATTGTGGCAGAGAAAATGGAGGTAGTAGTGGCCGACGGCAGTGCGACAGGGGGATTCGAAGCAACGTTGGTGAAGGGTGGGCGCCGACGTGATCGATGTGAGAATGGGAGCAAGCACGGTCGTGGAGGCAGCAATTGCGGTCGCCGGACAATTGGTACATTGGGTCCGAAGATGGCCGACGAGGCTAGTCGGGGCTCAATGCTCGATGAGAGCGCGGGCACGTTGGGTGGGGCTGAATGGCGATATTGCGACTCGGAGGCGCCTGAAAATCGCGCGCAGCCCTCTTGACTTTGGTGGCGGCGATCTGGTTTACTGCGTACATGGCTGGGCCAGTCTTCACTTCTCTTCTCCAGGTTGGTTTGTTGGAGGCGAGGTCCTCCTAGGTCTCCGGGCTGATCTTCAAAGTGCCCTCGTAGAGTCGTTTTGACCGTCCCGATCGGTGAGCACCCGTGGCGAAATCTCCGTAGAAGAGTCGTTTTGGTGGCCAGCGTCGTCCATTCTCACCAGGTGGACGCCCCATCGCAGTTGCAGTCGTGTCAGCATGGCGTGGATGCTGAGGATATCAGTCCGTTCCAGATCTTCTCATGCTATCTCAGCTTCCGTATTCCGTGAAGGCAGCTAAGCTTACTGGCATGGCTTGCGTAGACGATCCAGGTCTGCGCTCCGTACAGAAGTGTCCTCAAGACGACGGCCTTGTACATCTTCAGTTTGGTGTTCATTTGAAGGCCGTGACGATTCCACACGGAGGTTTGCAGTCGGCCGAAGGCCCTGCTGGCTTTGGAGAGCCGATGGGCAATCTCGTCGTCGATATTTGTGCTGCGCAAGTATGCATCCTTGATAGGCGAAGCTGTTCACGGTCTTGAGTTGGTTGCCGTTGGCAGTGATTCGAGGAGAGTTGTATTCGGCGTTCGGTGGCGGTCAATGTATGACCACCGTTTTGTCCGTATTGATGATCAGTCCAAAGTGAGCACAGCCGGAGGCGAAGAGATCCATGCTCCGTTGCATGTCTTCTTCGGTCCTAGTGCTGAGTGCGCAGTCGTCGGCGAAGGGCAGATCATGGACCGTGGTCGTAGATAGCAGCGTACGGGCCTGCTGCTGAGAAGCTGCCCCTCAATTCCATAAGAAATGCGAATCCCAGGACGCTTTTTACGGTAGGCGTCCATCACTATTGCCCAGAACTTGAGCTTGAAGAGGGTGGGCGCGAGGACGCAACCCCGCTTCATTCCATTGATCACTGCGAATGCCTCGAGATTGCACCTTTGTCCGTGACGTGCGTCATCAGGCCGTCGGGAGCTGACGTACCATGTGCGCGAAGCGCTTACGACAGCCGATTTTCTGTATGATTTTCCACAATCCCTGGCGATTCACTGTATCAAAGGCTTTTATCAAGTCCACGAAGGTGGTGTAGAGGTCGGTTCGCATCTCCTGGCACTTCTCTTGCAGCTGGCGAGCAGCGAAGACCATGTCGGTAGTCCTGCGGTGTCGCCGGAATCTAGTTAATTTCCGGCAGAAGCCCTTGTTCTAGATGACCGTTGAGGCAGCTGAAGGGGATGCCAGCGAAGATCTCGGCGATGCTAAACAGCGAGATTCCTCTGTGCTTGTCACATAGTTGCCGGTCCCCTTTGCGCTCGTAGAAGCGAACTATTGTTGCGACCTTGAAATCCTGAGGAACCTGTCAACGGCGCCACATCTCCTGGAAGGGCGCCGTGAGTTGGTCTATCTGTCTGTGGTCGCCGTGCTTGTAAATTTCAGTGGATGGTTTCTGGAAGGGAGAGCTGGAGATCCAGATCGATGTTGATTCCCACTTGGGGGCGCCGGTCGATGGCGGCGTTGGAGATTGGGGAGGGATGATTGAGGACGTTTCTGAAGTGCTCCGCCCAACGCTTCAAAATCGGTGACTTCTCCGTCAGAAGCATTGATTCACAAGGGCTGAGAAGCGGCGCGGCTACTTTCGTTGAGGGACCGTAGATAGTCTTGATGGGGACGAAGACGTCCTTCACTTCATTGCGGTCGGCATATCCCTGAATGCCTTTGGCCGCGCAAGCCATCCAGGTGTCCTGCATTTCTCGCAATAGATGCTGCGCCAGGCAGTGACATTGGTAGAAGGCCGCTTTGTTTGCATCGGACGGGCGGGTGATGTAGGCTTTGCGAAGCTTGTCCTTTTCGGCGAACAGGTTGCTGATGGCTGCGTCGTATTTGTCGTACTGGTCCGGGTGTTGACGACGTGCGCGGCCGAGGACACCCAGGACGGTCGAATGGACGGCGTCCTGCAGTTGTCACCATAGAGTCTCGACGGAGGCGCTCTCATCTGGAGCTTGCAGGTCTTCCAGGCGCTGGGTCATTTGATTGTTAAAATACAAACGGTGAGCAGGCAAAAAGGACAGAACGGTATTCAACTTATTTGGTGGTCGCTTACCCTGTAGCCTCCTGCGGGTATGCGGACGGAACCTCACCTTGGAGATGACGAAGCGGTAGTCCGTCCAGCCATCGGCGTCGCAGACTGCCTTAGCCACCACGTCCTGTCGATCGCATCTCTGGACGAGAACATGGTCCAGCAGCTGCTAGCGTCGCGACCAGAGGTGCATCCAGGTGGCCTTCTTCCGCATCAGCAGGCGGAAGTAGGTACTGGTCAGGATGAGCCGGTGTTCTGGGCAGGTTCGTAGGAGGAGAAGGCCAATGTCATTGGAGCCCTTAAGACCGTGGGGACCCAGAACTCCCCTCTGGGCGGCGCAGTCTGTCTTGACGCGGGCGTCCAAACCACCAACGACAATCAGCTTGTCCACCTTCGGCACGGACGCCAGGATGATGTGCAGGTCCTCGTAGGACTTAGTCTTCGCCTCGTCAGAGCTGGTCATTGGTGGGCCGTAGGCGCTGATTATGGAGGCGACGAATTGGGATGTCCGAGGAGGCAGACACAGGCCTACCAGTTGGTCGTTGATGCCCTGCGGCAGACAGGGCAGTCTTCCCACGATTTCCCTTCGGATGGCAAAGGCGATGCCCGCGTCGTCGTCGCTCTGCCTTGGGGCAGCCACTCCAGAAGAAGGTGTAACCAGCATCCACCTCCTCCAGTTGACCTTGTTCGGAGAACCGAGTCTCGCTGAGTGCAGCAATTTTCACCTTGTAGCACGCCAGTTCCCGAATAACTAGCGTCGTCCTCCGTTCCGGTTGGTTATTCCTTGAATTGACTAAAATTATCGAACATTCCAGGCTGCTAGAGTGAGCGGACTTATCCTAGCAGCCTGTGTGGTGGGGCGGAGGGAAGGGTGAGAGAGATTGTTCTTTCTTGTTTAACAGTTCCGACTGGGTGTACTGCAATCTGCAAGCCATGGTCTGCGTGTAGATGTCGAGGACCCAGCATTTGTCTAGGACGCCTTTTCTAGTCCATTCCCCACCAGGGGGTTAGTATTGCTATCCCTAAATAGGGCTACTTTGACTTCCGAGACGGCTGCCGAACTCCACTATGGGTCACGTCTTTGTTTGGTGGAGGACGATCCAAGTTAGCCTGGACCACCTCGGGGATTGTATATCATTGTATGTCTTACTATCCACTTTTGAAATGGGTAGTGGGGAGTGAGAGGGATTTGGGGGAGGGGGGAGGGAGGATGGAAAGGAAACAGGGTTACCGAGCGTGGGGACACACAACACCGGAGACCCTCACCTGATTTAGACCGCCGGTCGAGGTGGTCACGGGGGTGTGGCCGCTAGGCAGAGGTTACCTTGGAGAAGCCACATGTGAGAGTTGGGTGTCAGGTAATGGACGCTAGGCGTAGTCAACACCCGCAAGCAAGTGAAGCGACTTACAATGACGTTCACATGGACCCACAACTGGACACCCTCACACCCCAACGGAAAAGCACATCCCTTAAAATGGCTAAGCTATAACAGCAACGAGGATTATGCTGTTGGGACGCTAGACGAAGTTCAGCAGAAATCTTAGTTTAATTCCTCAGTCAGATTGATGATGTGTTTTTAACTTCGCGTCTGGTCCCACGGGGTTCGTCGGATACGGGTTGCCCCGTGGGAATCGAACCGCCTTGTTCGACAAGGGGCTTCCAAATTAATGGTCGTCGAACAGGTCCCCTCCCATTGTTTTTAAGACCTCAGATGTTTAATACCGCGCGGATACGCGATTAAGAGAGTGATCATGAGATGGTGATGTTGTTTGACAGGCAAGTGGCGAGTTACCCGGCGAGTGCACAGGTGGCTGACATCAAAATGTACTCTACCGAACTGGAAATGAGGAGGGAGCAGCTGCGGAAAATTTCGTGGTGGCATTTTAGCGCTACGTGAGGGGACCGGTAGGAAAATCCGGCCAAGTTTAAGAGGGTCGAAACGTAAGAACAGTACCAGGAGATTTCTGTTAGACGGGAACCATGGTTTTATCGCCACTGTTGCATTATGGCCAGGTTAAGACAATGAATAGTCCCAAATGTGACTGTCCGGAGAATAGCCATATCTGTTGGCGATGCACGCAGCGACGCGCTCTGTCATTTGCAACATGAAAATGGTTACCGGCGCAACTATTCTAAAACAGTGACGGTCAAAGGGGACTAGTACCCGCAAGTTCTGGATATATACTGCGTATTTTGTACAGCCAAAGGAAGTGCGGAAGATGAATCTAGGCCCAATGCGCTCCGACTAAATGCAAATAAACAAAGTGTGTTGGACCGAATCCAGTTGAGCTAGTGAGACAGAAATACGATCAATCAAATTGGGATCTTTATTCTGGACCTGTTCGGTGTGTTCGGACACAGTGTCTGCTGCCCTAAATAGGAGATGATATGGTCGAAGGCAAAGCCTTCGCCTCGATGTTATGCAGCTGACGACGAGGGCTAAGGGCAGCCAGCCCCTGCTCGAAACTCCCCCTATACCGGTTGACACATAAGTGCTGAGGTGAGCCACATTTTCCCTTGATTTTCCCAAGGCTAAAAACATAAGACAACAAAAACGGGTGTCAGGCAGCGCGATTGGCGCAGAAATTTACCGAGGTTGTTTGGTCTTTATAAGAAAAATTAGAATCTCTAGTCCTCTCCTTAGTGGAGTAATGACTCCCGCTTCCTATCACGGAGGGTGTGATGGACGTAAGAAAGCACCAACCGTAAACAAAAACAGAGAAATAAATCCTCGCTTAATAAGCACGGTTCAAGTCTGCCGGTCACGTGCAAAATCCGGAGCCAGGTGGGCAGTCGTGGGCAAGATGCGTGATAGACAAGAGTGGTTGGCGCCAGTAAACCCTACCGAAATTGTGGGTCTCACATTCGATACAACAACGGACCACCGAGTACGTCGTGATGCATGCATGAAGCTGAACGTGGAGCATCCAAGTAGAACTGTCTTATCTCCTGCCAAAAGTGAAAAAACCAATTCCTGAATCTGAGAAGACAAGGGTGTCGAAGTCTGAGAGCTGGGGTTTACCGAACGTGCTAAGCGGCCGATTCTGGTTTTCAATATGCCAGGGACGTAGATGAGGGTGAGGCGCAATTTCGAACGCAAGACCCGCTGTGAAAGGCAGCATCTTGGTTGGCAAGAGAGACTAGTTGACTGGATGGCCAAAATCAAAGGCTTCCTGCGAGAAAAAATCATAACCTTAGTACCTCGGTTAACAAATGTGATGACCCTCAATTGTAATTGTTTTCCAAATACTAACATAACCGATATCCTCAATTATTCCATTGGAATCGTACCCGATTCTCGGTTGACTCCAGACAACTAAGTCTAGACCAAGGGACACGGCGTCACGCGAATAGGCAGTTATTCTGGGAAAAATAGTTCCAAGCAAAAGAAGCGAGCGATGACGAGTGTTTTAAGGGTATTGCCGGATCATTACCACACCTCGGAATCTTCCCCATAGCGACTGTCGTATCCACGACTCGCATTTCTCGACCCCATGATCAGGGAACAAAGCATTAGGCTGCCAGAGGTGAGATCGACTGGAGGGGGACGGCAAACATTTCGTTAAATAATGTGGTAGACCAGCTATTCACCCGCAGGTTTGACCGCGAGTGCACGACTAAAAAGGTCAAAGGTTATAATTGGTAAGTGTAAAGTCACTAATACCGTGGTCGAGCTAACCAATTTAGGTAGATGGACTGAAAATAGCGTGAAGACCAGTCCGACCAATTCGCTAAGTGTTTTTGTTGTTTTTTTAATTATTAATGTTGGTTATCAGCCTCACCCATTTGAAACGTCAAAAGGTCAATAACGTGGTCACAACGCATCCGTTTTCTATATTTCAAAGCAAACCCATGATAAACTAAGACGTTAAAAGTGAACATGTCGTGGAATTTAAACATTCTTCAGCCTTTGGAGACGGTTCCATTTGTTTGTCATATAAAAGGACGTGATAAGCTCACCAGGGGTCCAACCGACATTTGAGCTGACCATTGGAAAGGGTCTGACAAATGCACGCACTTCCATCGCCGGCTGACGGGTCAGCGAAGAAGCGGCCCTCCACACCGGCTCCAAAAATGTTCTTTAAAGAGCGTGGTGCTTGGAGGTTTTCGATGAGAATCGTTACTCGAACGTTACCGTTGGAGACCTCATCAACGGTAACCGTAGGCATAGGAGTGCTACAGGATCGGGGCAGGAGTAAAATGAAGTGGTCGTGAGAGAAAGCATGGAAATTTCTACAGTAACACGCCAGTCACGATATCGCTCAGCAGTCGTGTTTGGATCCTGAGGTCGTGAGCTCGAGTCCCGGTTAAGCGGACCGATAGGCTAGGTAGATATGAGTCCTGTATGACAGGACCCCTGGGAACAGGGGGTTACCTGGAACGTTCGTATGTGGCAGATTATGGATTAATTTTTACGAAATAAGTAGGTTCCTGAATCTGATGAATATTATCAGGTGTGAGGAGGCACCATTTATAAAATCAGTCATCTGTAAAAAGGTCACAAGCCATAGCGGTACTACAAGACATATGTTGGTAGCCACCAAGTACAACTTTACCAATCGTCTAGCCCAATCCTTGGACGCTAAACTAGTGTGCCGGAGGCGTGGGCTGACACGTACACACTCCAATATAGGTACTAAGAAACCAGCCCTTCAGTAAGCCAGCCCACACAGCTACTGTAAGGCGAGCAGCAGCTTGCCGGGATTTGGTTAATTGGAGGCTAAGGCCCGAACTCTCTGGTTGGAGAGAGACCGAATCTGTCCAACTTTCGCCCACTGTCAAAATTCAAAGCGGGTAACTTTACTTCTAAGGGCGACTCTGTTCAGATGGCTTGCGCGATTTCGATACCTTTAGACTCAACTGTATAATGTGCGTAGGACCGAAAAAGTTCTTAAAGGTTTGAAACTAGGACGACGCGCCTGCAGGGAGTGTGCCTACTTTCCACAAAACCCCTAGAGTATGTTGCCTACTGTCAACACGTGGACATCGTCTCATGGCCAAAATGTGGAAGATCATTCTATGCTGACCCCACGACATCCCATCTTTCGTCTACGACCGAACCAGGCTGTGCTGACATCAGTGATCAAAACTCAGTCACCGCTTCTACATACGAGCAAAATTTGGTAAGAGTGGCCGGTGTACTTTCCCTACTTCGGCGAACATTTGTGTAAAGCCTAGTTCGGCTAGTGTTACGGCACGTGCAGAAAGAGGCTTATTGTTAGATCAGCCATTGTGTCTAAACTCAAATTCAATCGTTTAACCACGGGAATAAAGCAAGCAGGAGAAAGGAGAGTAAGATAAATGTTGGGAAAATCCTACCATACATTCATGCGCAAGTTGTTTTAAACGAAGATGCCATGGTCATTTACGGCAAACGGACTACCCTGTTACTTATAAACACCATGTGGAAGTAAGGAGTATTGTTGTTGTTGTTGCTTAGGACAACTCGGCTAAAGTCGAGCGCTGGCGTGAGCACTTTCAGCACCATCTAAACTTCGACACTCAACCTACCTCGCCTTTGCTCTCCTCCTCAGCGGAGTTTCTTCCTTCTCCTACCTATGCAGTGCCATGCGATCCCCCCACCGAGAGAGAAGTCGCCGATGCCATACGAAAGTTGCGCAACAATAAGGCACCCGGAGAGGACGGTATACCCGCTGAAGTCTTAAAGTCTTGTGTCGACACTCTGGCGTCCTGGCTCCATGATGTGATTGAACGAGCGTGGAGAGACGAGGTTGTTCCTGATGACTGGGGCTTAGGCATCCTTGTACCTATCCTCAAGAAGGGAGATAAGACGAGATGCGAGAATTATCGCGGCATAAGTCTCATCGAAGTTGGTGCAGGATCTTCGTTATTGTCATACTCAGGCGATGCCAGGCTGTGCGTGACTCAAAAACGAGGCCCAACCAAGCCGGATTTCGTGCTGGACGAGGATGCGCAGACCAGATATTCACACTGAGGCGCATTCTCGAATTTCGCCATAGCTACCAACAACCGACGGCCGTCTGCTTCATTGAATTTGCCGCCGCGTTCGATTCCGTTCACCGTGAGTCCCTGTGGCGGATAATGGTGCTAGATAGTGTACTGGCAAAAATCATCGCCATGATCAAGGCCTACTATCGCTCCACCACTGCGAGAGTCCTGGTCCGCAACAATCTTTCCCAACCGTTCGGTATTCGGTCTGGTGTCCAACAGGGTTGTATCCTGTCACCAATACTGTTCAACTACGCTACTGACTGGATCCTCGGGAGGGCCCTACGCGAGAGTGACGGTGTTGAATTTGCACCCGCACATCGACTGACTGATCTCGACTATGCAGATGATATCGCCTTACTTGCTTCAAGTTGTGGTGATCTGCCGTCTATGGTGTCACGGGTGAACGAGGTCGCTAAATCGGTCGGTTTGTCCATAAATGCTGAGAAGACCAAAGTGTTCTCAAGCTTCATACCTGACCAGGAGAAGGCACTCCTCGGGATTAATGGCTGTCAACTTGAAGAAGTAGACAGTTTTAAATACCTCGGGGCGAGGCTGTTGTCTAACGGACAGAGTAAGGACGACATTGTCTCCCGAATCGATGCTGCCCGCTGGGTTTTTTCAAGCCTTTGGAAATGCCTGTGGAACCGACGTGACCTCTCCATCGCCACTAAGATTCGCGTGTACTGTGCATCTGTTCGGTCTGTCCTTCTCTACGGTTGTGAATGCTGGGCTTTGCGCGTGGAGGACGAGCGAAAACTAGAGGTATTTGAGCGCCACTGCTTGAGGACCATCCTTCGAGTGAAGTTCATTGACTTCGTCTCAAATGAGACAGTCCGCGCTCGCTGCGACAACATCTCAAGGATAACTCAGGCCATCCAAAAAAGACGACTGAGGTGGTTCGGGCATGTTCTTCGTCGTCCACAACAGGAGCCCAGTTTTACTGTCCTCGATCCGGCACCGTTGCCCCATTGGAGGCGTCGAAGAGGGGGTCAGTTGAAAACCTGGCTCGACACAGTTCGTCAAGACATGGAGGTGGTTCTTGGACCTTCGGTATTCGGTCTCCGTCGTTGGCGGAGGGAATGGGTTGAGCTGTCCAGATCTGCTGTCGCGGATCGTCACGCGTGGAGAGGTACAGTTCGGGACATCATCGAGGCCGGCTAGATCAGGCATGATCGCAGCCGTGTCAAGTACAAGTAAGGTAAGTTGCTTAGGAGAGCGTTAGACATAATGGTAAGTGTCAACTTTGATTACAACAAGGTTGCGGCAAACCCAGTTAATCATGTTCAATAAGCTGTCGAAGTAAGCTCACTTGGGTGCAGTTAGTTACATACCAAACTTTGCTGTCATACTGCACTGAGGTGTTACTGGGTAGGTAACTGTGTAGCACTAATTGCAGTACGAATCACAGATTTTAATCCAATATCAAAAAATCTGCAGCTAATAATTTGTCCAAAAAGATGTTTTTACTATTTTGCCCGTGATATTGGGAATCGAGCGTAAATTAGGAAAAAAAACAATGGCAGAGAAGACTTCAACTCAAAGGCATTCCGACCACACCCCCTGTTTTTCTACACTGTTCTTCCGTCCCTGGCCCCCAAGAGATTAATAATAAAAAAATGCTCCTTACAAGCATTTGTCGGAATTTTTCCGAGACTGTAAGCGTTAAAAAGTCCACTATTCCAAAACTTAGCTGAGAAAACGGCCTGAGCTTCCACATTTTTGCATGGCACACATGGTTACTGTAGGCGTATTTTACTTTTCACAGGACTATAGCGAGTCTCGTGTAGTACTAGAATACATCTGCGAAAAGCGAGTGCTTCATAGTCCGAAATGCTTCTAACTCATGAACGTTTCTTAAGGTTAACACGTTCCGTATGATTGAATACATATTCAGGAATACGTACTTTCCCATAAAGCTACAAGAAAAAGCGATTTGATTTATACAGGTACCGGGAGATAATGACTAGGTAACTGTTACTACTGGAGTATTCGTTTCTGACATTATCTTGGCCCAGTGGTAGATTCACCAGAATAAGGCTAGCGCACTGCACGGCTTCAAGGGATGAATTAATTTTTGACACTACCAATTTGGCAAATTACTACGAAACAAGTTTGCCGAAAAAGCGTTAACAGAGACGGCACTGCCGTGGAAGACGTTAGGATGACGGCATTGGTCGTTATTCTGGCTGCATGTCGACTGGCGTGCAATGGGTGAAATAGTTCTACATCTCTTCGATAATTGGGCCGGTAAAAAAATGAACTAAAAACGAATTCAATCTGTTGAAGATAATATAACAACGTCAAAGTATTTACATGGCAGGGGACCTTGAACATCTTTAAAAATGCTAGGGGAGGATAGTATTCCGTCCGCGTTATGTTATGAGGCTGTGCGTTATCTGTTCTGGTTTTAACAAATCAAGGTGTCATATGAAAGCTCAAAGAAGGGTGGTCGACTAAGACTCGCCTCTAAAAAAATCTAAGGCATCTTCGTTGCATAAGGACCGTACAATGCCTTAGCAACTTTTGCGGTATCCGCTGGAATAACGCGTTCCGCAATTGGAGTCGAGTGGTAAAAAGAAATTAGCATGTTGGAAAACTAGGCAGAACTTCCTGTGTTGGACGCTGGAATGGTTGAGCTTCTGTTTAGCCGACGACCCACAATTAAGACAATTGGTATTTTTACTCAGCTCAGCTAAGGAATTGACCCAATCGACCCGGGGATGCATCCCCGGCAGAATGGAATGGCCGGAATTGAATTTGCAATGCTTATGCCAGACCCCGTATCTATTTCTAAGGCTTAAGTTGCTCCTACCAGAAAGAGAAACTGCTTATCTACACCGGTCAAAACTTTTCAATAAGGGTAAGCTCTACAACACACTTTAACAAACGACAGTTCGACGATACGAGCTTCTATAGTCCGACCGTCATGGCGGATGTTGCAACATCCACGTTTAGTGGAGATTTTGCAGATAACCAGGGATGGTATGTCAATTCGATAACCAGACGGTCCGTAAACAACTGGTTTAACGCGTCGACTACACCGAACAGCCAACGATTAAAGGATCTTGACACAGAGACTACGGGAACCATCGGTCATCGAGAAGATTAGGGTTAAAGTCAAAAAGAGGATGTCCGTCATGATATGAAGGCATGACAAATTCTTCCAGGCGTCGCATCAATCTACTTAGTCAGAGCAGCCAGCTGAACTCGAGGCCAACCGGCCTTCTTCATTGCCAGCCCCTGACAGCGGTTATCTATTTCCCTTAAAATCAGTATCATACATGACACTTATTGTCATCCCCTATCATCTCCCCCCTCACTACGGCAAACAATTTTTATAAGCATAGAGCAAGACGAGGCACTCAGCACAAGTAGAGTTGCACAGAAAAGCACCTAGGCTGTCCCCGACAAACTAGTTTAAAATTGGCGCAGTGTAATAGGCAGGACATTACCTAGAATTTTGATGCGCAATTCAAGTTTTGAGCAAGTTAACGGAAGTGCACAGTGATGAGTAAACAGGCGTTAATCAAATTTTGTATATAGTCGACGTCTGGATGGGAACATTTAATGCATGCATGCAGTGCGCATGAGGCTGCCTAAATCAAGAGGTATTTTCGACCAGTTACGCAGAGTACAACTGTAGGAACGCAAGAAATGTGCAGAAGGGATGTTATTGGAATAACAAATGCATAAAGCGTTGAAAACACACAAATCATATTATTTGCACGAGACAATCTCGTGCAACTGACCAGAGTTTTCCATGAAATTGCTTGTTCAACACTGGGTATTCTCGGTTACAAAGTGTTATGAAACGGTTTTCATAAGTCCTTCTCCGCCCACTGAATGCTGTAAGAGGTCAGGTGTATCTATTCAGCCTTTTCACTTCTCAGAGTGCATGAACTTGTCGAAGTTTCCAACTCTGGGCTCTTATCTTCTTTTACTTCCCTTTTCAAATAACAACTGCCAAAGAAAATTGTATCTGTTTGTCCCCCACATTGTTGGCGTTGATTTGTAAAGAGTGTCACTTTTCCACATTCTTGAGGTAACTATTAGTTTTCGCATTTAAGTACTGTATTTTAGACAAGTCATCCTCAAATACTAGAAAGAACTTTGTTGTCCTGGAACTTCCACTTCAAAAAATACAGTCCCAATTAAGTTGCTCATTTCGCAGGCTTGCCCGTTAGTGTAACGTATACTGTTAATCATTGAGTTAGGTTTCCAGTTTTTGACACAGTCCACCAAGGCAGAGCACCTGCTTAAGTAAGAGTGGGAGAGGTCCAGACTAGAGGACGGAGAGGTAAATGCGCTAGATCATTATGGGGGATCGGTCGGGGTTCAGCACGCTTTATTGGGAATGCGCACACGTAACAAATGCCAACATTGGGCGTGTGGTGGCAAGTCAAAGTGCACGCTCAGGCCGAGTCAATTTGGATCCGAGCCTCCTCCCCCCCCCCCACTTTCCCATTAGAAAAATTCCAGGTCGCTGTACGTTGTAGACCGGGGATGGCACGCCTAGGTGCCGGTTTACGCCATGCCCGACACCTACAGTCTCTCCTCCCCCCGGCCTACTAGACTTGGTCATGACAGTGCATCAAGGTGGGGGAGGAGAAAGGGCGGTAGATGCTGTGAAAGTCCGCTATCATCATAAACGAACTTACGCGTTGGGGTTAGACCTAGGGTCAAGGCTGGGTTTGGCGTTTGGGTCGGGGTTAGAAATGTGCTTGGGTTTTGATTTATGTGTAGGTTTAGTGTTTGAGTTTAGTTAGGAGTTAATATTAGCGTTTGGTTTGAGTTTTAGGAATAATTAAATCATTGATTAACTGTTCGATTAAAGTGCATTATGTGCTACGCTTAATAGGAGATATGAGAACATCTGGACGAGGCCTCGTATAATTACTGACTTCAGTTTAGGCTACTCTCCATATAAATTACTATTTTCATCAATTGAATACACACAAATGCCTAATCTACAAACTTTCTGAAAATGGGATAAGAGAAAGGCTGCTGACATGGATAACAGATTTTCTTACAGGGAGATCCCAAACCATGTGCGTTGAGGCCTTGAGGTCAACTCCTACTCCCGTTCTAAGTGGTGTACCCTAGGTCTCCGTCTTAGGGCCGTTGCTATTCCTGGTATACATTAACGACTGCGTCGACGACCTGGCATTCAGCGCCATCATGTTTGTTGACGATCTGTGGAGAACCATCAGATCTGACGGAGACAGGTACGGGCTTCAAGACAGTCTCAACCGCATGAGCAGTTATTCAGCTCGTTGGCTCCTTAATGTTAATGTGGACAAATGTGTGGTCTAAAGACTCCGCACCAAAAAGACCACTAAGGGGGCGATTCCTTCCAATATTTCCTGGGTGGGCAGCCTCATTAAAATGTTGTGGAACAGAAGGACCTCGGCGTCCTAAGGACTTTCCAGCTGAAACCATCATCACACTGTCAAAGGGCAGCCAAAAGTGCGATAAGGATGTTATTTGCGCTGAGGCGAGGATTTTCGCAGATCGATAAAGAGCTTTTCGGAAAAACCTATAGGGCATTCGTCCGGTCTCACTTAGAGTATGCAGTCCAGGCCTGGCGAGCGTGGTTGAAGAAAGAGTATCAACGACTGGAAAGACTACAGTCAATGGCTGCGAAGATGGTCAAGGATCTTCCTCATCTGTCTTACGAAAACCAGGCTGACCGAAATAAATCTGTTTCCTCTCAATTACAGGCAACTGCGCGGCGATCTCACTCAAACCTACAGGATTGTCAGAGGCCGTGAGGGCGCCCTAGACTTTGATTAATTCTTCGCATTGGCCGGGACTGACCGTCTGCGTGGCCATCCCTTCAAACTGCAGAGGAAGCTGGCTCATTCGGACGTCCAACGAACGCCTTCTCTCACAGGGTCATTAGGGCATGGAACGGACTCCCAACTGCGGTGGTTCTTTCCGAAATCGTCGAATCCTTTAAGTGTAGACTAGATGCTCATTTTCTGAGAAACGACTGTACATATAATCACGATTGTTTTAGCGGCGGCAGTTTGCGCCTGGCTCATATTTACCACTAACTTTTGAATTTCTGCATTTGCTGATGTACTTGTTGATTCTATTTCTGTTTATCGATATTAATAGGGAGCTCATAAGCGAAAGCCTCATTCTCTTAGTAAACTGACTGCCCTGACCTTACCCCTTGTTAAGACTTTTCTCCTAATGTGACGTCCGCTCGGCACGGTTTAAAATGAGTCTGATAATATTTAATCGAGTCCGCTCGCTTAGATCTTAGCTGATCGAGGTTTACGCCTCGGTAACATGACCAAGCTTGCTACTTGGAGCCCTTTATCATAAAGGTTTTCGATAAATGGCCATATATGTATGGTGATTTTAGACTCGAGGACTCCACTGGCTATTTCCTGAGTTATTCTAAATTTAACCATCAGCTTTGCTCATGCCCACTGGTCTGATCTATTTATATGCATGTATCTTCGAGGGTCACTAGCGGAATCAGCATAATCTATATTCACTTCGTTAAACTTACACAAACTTCTTACACCAAGCGTACAGTGATGCGTCACGTATGGAACAAAGTCAGGAGAAAGTTCATGGCTGGTCGTAGATAGACCTGCAGTGATGGTCGGTCATCAAAAATTAAAAAAGCCAACGGCCTTTTGGATATAACCATGGTGCCACAAGTCCCCAATTGCTTGGAAGTGAGTCCGACGGTCAAAATGCCAACAGACTGAGAGAAAACTCCTGCTGTTCTAGACGCATGCGTACGTGTTTGACCTTGTACGGGAGACCACGCAACTGACTTGTGGCGGCCCTACTCCAAACTCTTGTCTGAACGTTGGGCCTCTCGTGGGTAACTATTGTGCCACAAGGGCTGTCTGGCATCCGCCCACCCGGCTTCCCAATCAACCAATCGGGTTCAAGGCTGAGTTAGAAGTGTCCTAGCCTAAGACGCTTTGACGCATTCTCCAGCACACTTTGGACGCCATTGTCTCGGCGCCAGACGAGCCCTCATCCGTCTGCCAACTCTGTCTAATCCCTCTTCTACTTACTCTGTACAGAATAGACAATCCTTCATCTTCTTTTCCAATTCGGAGTCGAATCTGAAGGTCGTGGTTTCCAGGGTCTCACTCTTGGCCTTAACTATTGCGATAGACTCATACTTGTGATCTCGAAAAAAACCTTCAGCTTTAAGCAAACAACCATGTCTGCGAATAATGGGAGATGTTAGCAGCAGGTTGCTCGTCATTTGTCTACATGATAGGGAAAACAAATTCAGGCTGATCATTCTTTTAGGATATGGCAGAATCTTAAGACTATCCACCAGTTTTGTCGTCCGTCGCTGCACATGCTCGATGGGGTCACTGTCTTCCCTCATCCAGGGCGTCCATGATAGCATTTCCTATCCCAGGTGCGGTCTGATGAACGTGTCAAAGATCCGTGCAATGAGTTCGGGCGAAAGGGTACGAAAGCACACATACTCCAGTGCAAGATGATCATGGAACTTTGACCATGCCTTCGCATTGTTTGGGAGGCAAAAAGATCACATTTGTTCAGCTATCCATAGTTTTGTGAGTATCCATGACTTTTGGTGGGACCTAATTTGTAATCTACTACGTTTTAAGAAACATCACCAACAGGATTCCAGGCAAAAGACTACATATTCGGATGCATTAGATGTCAGAAACCACTTGCTGAATCATGTGACGAGCTTAGTGACCGCTTTTTTCAGTTTCTTCTCGTCGCCAGAACACCTGGTTGTTTTCCAGATTTTCATGTCTCCTGCAAGCATGATTATATCACAGTTAAGATCTTTGATACGACCGCCTACATAGATGAGGAAGAGACGAGGATCTAATACCGAATCCTGTGGAACACTGCTTTCTGTTGGTACCTATTCGGAAGCAGTGGTACCAGCAATTATTCTTTGCAGCCTTTATGACTGGAAATCTTTATAATAGTAATAATAATTTCTATTAAAGACCCGTCGGCGTCCTATTTAAAATGCTGCACTGGATAATAAACTGCCAAATTTTTGTGGGGGTCCTTCATGAGGCACGATACCAAACGCCTTTCTGGAGTCGATGAATATAACATCAACTGGCTTTTTGTCCATTTTTCCCGAGAGTAAGACTACTCGTAAGACGGGCGACTATGGCTAAATCCGTGCTAAGAAGCGCAAATGAGGTTCATCTGCACCAGATAAGTCACTAAGTGTCCCTTACTAAGTCGTTCCGTGACCTTGAACAACGAAAAATGTACTGCAAGGCAGAATAGCTTATTAGTAGATTTTCGCTACTGAGAAAGATAGCCTCCCTCGACTATCCTCCTGGAAAAGAGCACTGGAAGTTCGTCCAAGAGGGCTAAATTTCAAACTGTGTCTTTTTCTTAAAAAATCATAATTGGAAACCACCGGAACTCAAAGGAAGAACTTTCGATCGCTGGAAAAAGAGGT